GAATTGTTCAGTCATATAGCAAGGCCATGTTTATCTTTTTAAAAAATATATATTTTATTGATTTTTTTACAGAGAGGAAGGGAGAGGGATAGAGAGCTAGAAACATCGATGAGAGAGAAACATCAATCAACTGCCTCCTGCACACCCCTACTGGGGATGTGCCCGAAACCCAGGTACATGCCCTTGACCGGAATCAAACCTTGGACCCTTCAGTCCGCAGGCCGACGCTCTATCCACTGGGCCAAACTGGTTAGGGCCATGTTTATCTTTTTGAGGAACCACCAAACTGTCCTTCAAAGCAGCTGCACCATTTCCCATTGGCACCAGAGATGTGTGAGGGTTGCAGTTTCTCTATCTCCTCAACATTTGTTATTGCCTGTCTTTGTTATTATAGCCATCCTAGTGGGTCTGACGTGGCATCTCATGTGGTTTGGGTTTGCAGTTCTCTAATGACTTATGATATGGAGCATCTTTGTTTTTTTAATAACATGTTTTTATTGATTCCAGAGAGAGGAAAGGAGATGGAGAGAGAGAGATAAAAACATCAATGATTTGATCACCTGCCTCCTGCATGCCCCCAACTGAGGATCGAACCTGAAACCCAGGCACGTGCCCTGACTGGAATCGAACCATGATCTCCTGGCTCATAGGCTGACGCTCAGCCACTGAGCCACACTGGCCTGGCTGGAGAGTCTTTTCGTGTACTTGATGGTCATTTGTGTTTCTTCTTTGGGGAAATGTCTATTCATATCCTTTGCCCATTTTATTTTATTTTATTATTATGTTTGAATCCTCACCCGAGGATATTTCCCTGTTTATTTTTAGAGAGGATGAAAGGGAGGGAGGAGGGGGAGAAAGAGAAACATTGATGTAAGAGAGACACATTGATTGGTTGACTCCCACATATGCTCCAGCTGGGGCTGGGGATGGAACCTGCAACTGGGTTGATGCTCTAATCACTGAGTCAAACGGGCCAGGGCCTTTGTCCATTTTAAATTGGGTTGCCCTTCTCTGTTAAAGCATGTTTTATAATAGCAAGTGTTTTCAGAGAAGTATGGATGGGTGCAGATTTTTAGAAATCGCGACATGTGTTCGAGGTGTGCGTGTGCTGCTGTGTCCTCCTCGCTTGACTGGCGGTTACAGATGCAGAGTGGAGACCAAGCGGACGTGTTGGCCTTGGGGTTTCTGGAAGATTATCTGTGGTCTGGGCAGCCTGCTTCCCAGTCTGTGCTCCCTCCACCCTCCCTGCCTGCGCTGGTGCTCAGAGGCTCAGCTGCCCTGAGGACACAAGGATAGGGCGGGACGGTGGGTTCAGGTGTATCTTTTGTGGACATTATTTGAAACTTGTGTATCTGCATTAGTTCTCTTTCTTCCCTTTGGCCTTGGTGTTCTAAGCACTTACCTCCGTCCCTGCCCTGGAAGGGCTCCGGGGAGGGGTGCTGCCCCAGGTCTGCCCGCTTCCTGCCTGTGCCCTGACCCCTGACCTGGAATTGAACCGTGACCTCCTGGCTCACAGGTTGACGCCCAGCAGGAGGTCCGTGGTAGCCGTGCTTATTTGAGTTGATCTTGTTAGGAACAAAATATTACATGAAATTTTTCCTTTTTAAAGTTCCCAATCCAGCTATTAAATTCAGGAAAATGGTTGTTTCCTAACAACCACTTCTATGTAGGTGTTCCTACCCTTACCCAGTGCGTCTGACACTAAGGACTCATAGCTGACCCCTCCACTCCCATCCGTGTGTTTAAAATGACCGGAATTTCTGAAATGTTGGCCGCCACTTCGCGCTTCTCAGTGAAATGGTGGACGTTCCCTCTTCGGATGTGCGGAGTGAGTTCCAAGCCATGTAGATGCTGGGATAATGGGTCAGGCCCTGGCCCAGTGGCAGCCCGAGGACTGAGCGGCCAGGCCTCCCTCTGGCCCACGCAGCCCCTCTCCTGTCAGGCGCTAGAATGTCCCAGGACTATATACCCGAGCTTTTGTGGGTTAGGCCTGGTGTGTATGCTTTGACTGTGTAAAATTGCCGGGGTGGGGCTGTGTGTGTGTGTGTGTATGTGTTAATAATTGAAGTGATTGTTATAACCAAAAACTAAAATTGTAGGGAAAATATTCCGATGATCGTACTGTGTTGTTTGAGGAACTGTCTGACTCTTCCCTCCCTTCATGGCTTGTAGTCTTTCCTATGTCATAATAAAGCAACATTTTTTTCTGAAAAAAATAAATAAAATAAATAAATCAGGTTGCCTTTTTATTGTGTGTGTGTGTGTGTGTGTGTGTGTTAATAATTGAAGTGATTGTTATAACCAAAGACTAAAATTGTAGAGAAAATATTCCGATGATCGTACCGTGTTGTTTGAGGAACTGTTTGACTCTTCCCTTCCTCATGGCTTGTAGTCTTTCCTATGTCATAATAAAGCAACATTTTTTTCTGAAAAAAATTAAATCGGGTTGCCTTTTTATTGTTGCGTTCTAAGAGTTGTCTGTGTATTTGGGATACTAGACTTCTTACATTATTTTAAATCTAATCCTCACACGTTAACTGGGTGAGGTAGGTGTTAGGTCTGACCAAATAAATGAATCGATACCCCCTTCACAATGGACATTCCACTTGCTGAGACCATTCTCTCTCCCCTCTGGAGTTTCCCAGAATCCAGACCTGCACAGAGCATTCTCCGCCCAGAAAAAGCCCATCTAGAGTCCTTTAAAAACCTCTGACTCCTCGTCTTTGGGTGCTGGCGCCATTTGGGGGCTCAGCCCATCTGGTATCCAGGTGACCTAATAAATTCATAATCCTTTACCCTTTTTGGCCTCGTGTGTTCCTCCTTCTGTGACCCTAACAGTGAGTATTTTATGATTCTTATTTGAGAGACGATAAAAAAAAATCCAGACAGGTGAAATCCTGCCAAGTTCACACTGTACGTGGCAGGGGTGGCACTCATGCGCAGACCTTCTGGCTCCCGCTCTTTTCTACCTGAATGGGGCACCTGCAGAAAAATCAAGATGCTGCACAGAAAGAGTGGATGCTGTGGTAACCACACCTTAGAACTCGGAATGTCTTTCAGGTGAAGCCGAAGGCAGTGGCAGAAGTGGAACCCATGCTGCCCTGTGACCACGGTGCTACTTCTGTGACCACGGTGGCCAGTTTGGTGATGAACCACTAACACATGCTACTTCTGTGACCACGGTGGCCAGTTTGGTGATGACCACGTGCCTCCCAGCAAGCAGGCAGGGTTAAGGAAATGCCATTCTGCCCTGGGCTACCTCCTGGGGAATTAGATCAGCTTGACTGCTCACAGGGCTACCACCAACCTGTGCCCGAGCCTGAAGTTTACCTGGAGGCAGCAAAGCTAGCAACGTGCCCTGTATCCGTGTCTGAGGACCGAACCAGGCCACGCCGCTGAAACAAACAGTCCCCTGGCATTTAGCTCCTGTGAGCCCCTCACTGCAGCCCCTTTTGCTTAAGCCAGTGTTGGCTGGGGTTTCTGTAAGACTCCTCACTGACAGGTTACCACCAACAGGATTCTGTGCGGCAAAGCAGCTTTTTCAATAGGTTTTTATTGAAATGGTTACATTAGCAAATCCCACATACAGGTGTACACTATTGGCATGTAGACATATACCATACAATTTCACTACTTCGTTATACTTACATCAACCATACGGACCTAGGAGTTGTGCTGTCCAGAACATTTTAAAGGGCTTGTAAGACCTGGTTGCCAAGAAACCAGCTCACAGTCTACTCGCAGGTGTGTGTGTTCTAGACAAGGTAACTCCTCCTACAGGGAGTCCCCAAATTAAGCGAGTGATCAGCTTTGCTTCTTGGATCTTCGATGTGTGTTCCTTCTGGCACAAGCTAGCCAATGGTGGAGTAAAATTCAAGCGTACAGTTTCCCTTTCGTCTCTCAAGGCAGAAGCTAAGCCATTGGCCACATGTAGATACAACCCAGCCTCCCCCACCCAATCACCTGTGTTGTAGTTAGAAAAATAGTAGTGTGCCATCCTCTGAGATGTTGTGCATAGTTAGCAGGAACCCAGAGTAAGTGCAGCTCTTGAATGACCCCAATACGAAAGGGGCAACGTTACCATTTGATGAGTACAAAAGCTACTGGGGGTCAAAAACAATTGTGACATATATGGCCCAGGGTTTGGACAACTCCGTCTCTCGTCCAGGACCAGGATTGCTCTAATAGGTGCCCGAGTTCCCTGGACCCCAAACAGCACTTCCTGGCTTGGTGCCCGTTCCTGTTTCTGTAACCCCATTGGTTGTTTCCTTAGAGCCACTGCCACTCGGGAGTAGGGCCTGCTTCCCACGCTCAGCTAAGACACCAGAATCTGGCCCCACGCACTGGCCCAGGGCACCACTCCTCCAGCGGGGTCAGCAGCCTGGCCTGGGCACTATGAATGGGCACAGTGCCCTCTCTGCTTCTCTCCAGGACGGCATGGGCCATCTCAGGCTGGGCACCCAGGAAGGGAGTTGGGACCCTGGCACTGGCCACACGTGGTGACCTGGTCCATCGGGCATGTTGGCAGTCACCAGGTGCCAGCCTTTCTGCTTGGGAGCAGCTGGCTCACCCAAGGAAAAGAATGGCTTGGACGTTGCAGTCCGCCTCCCCCACCCCCACTTTTTGTTTTTACAAACATCTCGGCTTGGTTCCTCCCAGTCACTAGAAAAGGCATTTAATGTCACACAGTGTAAATGTACCTGGCCTTAGATGTGGATGAAGGATAATTCCGAACGCAAATTAGAGTTTACGTGTGTTGGGTTAAATTTGTAAAAATCGCTCAGAACAATCGTCTGTAACTCGGTAGTTGCCAGTAGCTGCAGAGATTTCTGGGGAGAGAGAGTGACCACTGCTGAGGGCATCAGCGGCCATGACTGGCACCCCACTCGAACCACACTGGACTGGAGAGCACGGAACGGCGCCGGCCCAGCATTAAACCAGCCTGAGGGCCCTGGGAGCCGTCCCGGGGGTGAAGGGCCCTCTGCAGCGGAGAGCAGGGCGCTCAGCTTCCCCCAGCTCCCAGCTTCCACAGCAGAACGGCGTGGTTTATGAAGACGCTTCCTGCTGAGCTGGGCCCACACTGGGCTCAGGCCCGGTGCTCTGGCAGCTGCCTCTGCACCAGCCCTGCCGTGCCAGGGCTGCTGCTTCAGAGAGGGCCAGTCCTTCCAGGCTGCAGAGCCAGGCCTTGCCGCCCAGCCTCACATCTCTCCGTGCACACCGCGTGTCTCCGCTCACACCGCGTGTCTCCGCTCACACCGCGTGTCTCCGCGCACACCGCATGTCTCCGCTCACACCGCATCTCTCCGCGCACACCGCACCTCTCCGGGCACACGGCCGGCCAAGGGAGAGCCCGTGGGAGGAAGGAGGGCCCAGCACTGAGGTTTGGCACCCCAGCAGCGCTGCGTCCTGCAGGTGTAACGCTCCAGTTGCATGAAGTTCAAAGTGTTTATGTTTTTCACTTGTTGTAAAGTATCTTCCTTTCCCCCAAATCAGAGTGAAGAAAATGGGAAAATGGTGTGAGCTAGGGTGACGGGCGAGAGGGACAATCCCAGATAAGACTCAGGCCACGGGCTAGGCCCCCACAGGGCCTCGCGGAACCACGAGAGCAGTCTTAGCGCAGACACTATGTCTGTCCTTTCAGCAACCGAGGCTGCCCGTGCCCTTGCCCGCCGGGGTCCGAGGGCTCGGGGGACGCAGCTCTGGAGAACAGGGGCCTGCTCTCAGCCCTGCTGCTGGGGACCCCGTCTCCATTCTTCCAGCTTAGGGTGCTGGGGTCGGCCAGGACCCCCTTGCGCACACCGCGTGTCTCCGCGCACACCGCGTGTCTCCGCGCACACCGCGTGTCTCCGCGCACACCACACCTCTCCGCGCACACTGCACCTCTCCGTGCACACCGCACCTCTCCGGGCTCTCTGCGCACACCGCACGTCTCCGCGCACACCTCATGTCTCCGCGCACACCGCGTATCTCCGGGAACACCGCATCTCTCCGCGCACACCGCATCTCTCCGGGCACACGGCCGGCCAAGGGAGAGCCCGCGGGAGGAAGGAGGGCCCAGCACTGAGGTTTGGCACCCCAGCAGCGCTGCGTCCTGCAGGTGTAACGCTCCAGTTGCATGAAGTTCAAAGTGTTTATGTTTTTCACTTGTTGTAAAGTATCTTTCTTTCCCCCAAATCAGAGTGAAGAAAATGGGAAAATGGTGTGAGCTAGGGTGACGGGCGAGAGGGACAATCCCAGATAAGACTCAGGCCACGGGCTAGGCCCCCACAGGGCCTCGCGGAACCACGAGAGCAGTCTTAGCGCAGACACTATGTCTGTCCTTTCAGCAACCGAGGCTGCCCGTGCCCTTGCCCGCCGGGGTCCGAGGGCTCGGGGGACGCAGCTCTGGAGAACAGGGGCCTGCTCTCAGCCCTGCTGCTGGGGACCCCGTCTCCATTCTTCCAGCTTAGGGTGCTGGGGTCGGCCAGGACCCCCTT